GGTCCAGCTCTCTCAGGTGGGAGGGGTTAGAGCTCAGAGCTGAGGCCAGATAAGCACAGCCTTCCTCTGTGATCAGACATCCTGACATCCTGCAGACAACACAAATTCATTCATTAACTCATTTATATATATATATATATATATATTTATATATATATATAATTTTCAACCCTGTGCAGACATTCACTCAGTTCAAAGAGCTTCACAGAGGCATGAACATACATTAAAATACAACATGAAGACGACATTAAAATATCATTTAAAAACAACAAAACTAATGTTTAAATAAATCAAATCAAGGTAAAATCAGGTCAGAAACATAAACACCATTTTAAAGAAGTGCTGCAGTGACAAAAACAAGATTAAACAGATGTTAAGTAGTTATAGAATGAATGAATGGGCATTGTACATGCTTTCAGAGTCTGAGAAGAGATGTGAAACAATGACTTTCAGATTGCAATGTGTGACCTCTGGCTCACCTGAGACTCTCCAGTCCGCAGTGTGGACTCTCCAGTCCAACAGACAGCAGCTTCACTCCTGAGTCCTGGAGGTCGTTGTTACTCAGGTCCAGGTCTTTCAGACTGGAGGAGTGGGAGCTGAGGACTGAGGACAGAGCTTCACAGCTTCTCTCTGAGAGGTTACAGCAGCTCAGTCTGAAAATGACAGTAAGTATGTGAAAATATCTCTTTATATTTAATGTAGATTTTATTGTTTATTTTACAGCATATTTGGAAGTTACGCTGTCAAAGCAGAGTCTGAAGAGGGATGTGACACTATAACATTATAAATGTGATCATTCCTCACCTGAGAGATTCCAGTCTACAGTTTGGACTCTCCAGTCCAGCAGACAGCTGGTCAACTCCTGAGTCCTGCAGGTTGTTGTTACTAAGATCCAGGTCTTTCAGACTGGAGGACCGGGAGCTGAGGACTGAGGACAGAGCTTCACAGCTTCTCTCTGAGAGGTTACAACCACTCAGCCTGAAGGAGAGTTAGTGACAACAGGGACTTTAATCATTGATGGTTGAAGTGACGGCTAAATGATGTGACGACATAGTTTCTATGTCGACACTTCTGACTGTTGCAGCTCAACTGTCTGCTACAGGAGAAAAACTAGTTTACCTGTGATATGTTAAAGAGTTAGCAGCTAATTATATGTTTTTGTCATATTTGACTGTCATTTTGTTTATATTCAATTATACCATTTGCATGATCTGTCCCTTAAATTTCTGAGTTTGGACATTTTCTTTGGACTTTGACTGGACTGGGCATTTGGGATCAAAAGTAAACTTTGACAACCATTAGTATTATTATGGATTATGATAATTTGACTGATTTTTCCAGTTTATTTGTAAACAAAGGGGTGTTAACCCTTTTGGTACAGCTGGGTATCATCTGCATAGCGGTGATATGAGAATGCTTGAGTGGATAATTGGACCCAAGGAGGTGGTGTATATGAGAAAGAGGAGGGGTCCCAGTACCAAACCTTGGGGGACTCCAGTGGGGAGGAGATGGGGTAAGGACATTTGTCTTTGTCATGACACACTAAAGGACACTGAAAGAAATATCCAGTGTTTCTCTCTGGTCAAATACTGAACAACTGGACATTTTTGTTCTTGGGATCACTGAGTTTAATACGAGAGGAATTTCTCTTCATGCATTCTGTTGCAAGTTCAACTGAAAGCGGAAACACTGCTGTGATGTTACATTAGATACTAGGGATATTAGAGCATTACAGCATCTACCGTAGTTTATTGGATTCACAATTTGATAGATTTTTCAATTAGATTAACAAATCCATCAGCTGAATTAGTCCTACACCTATTAGCTGCACATGTCTTTAGTTAAGTTTAGTTAGTCAGTAAATATCAGATCACCTACAGAGCTTTTTTTAAAGCTTTGACCACTGGCAGCAACCTCAGAAGAGCCTCCTCTGAAGCAGAGTATTTCTTCAGGTCAAACACATCCAGATCTTCTTCTGAGGACAGTAAGATGAAGACCAGAGCTGACCATTGAGCAGGAGACAGTTTATCAGTGGAGAAACGTCCTGATCTCAGGGACTGTTGGATCTCCTCCACTAGGGAACGATCATTCAGTTCATTCAGACAGTAGAACAGGTTGATGCTTTTCTCTGGAGACAGATTCTTATTTATCTTCCTCTTGATGTACTGGACTGTTTCCTGATTGGTCTCTGAGCGGCTTCTCTTGTTTTTGAGCAGCTCTGGAAGGAGTTTCTGACTGGGTTCTTGTGAGAGACCCAGGAGGAAACGGAGGAACAGGTCCAGGTGTCCATTTGGACTCTGTAAGGCCTTGTCAATAGCGATCCTGTGGACCTCTGCCGCAGGTAGTCGAGTGAAAGTCGTCCAAAGACGTTGAGAAGTTGTTCGTGGCTCAGACATCACATTCCTGTTGTGTTTAATGAGACACATCCTCACGTAAACAGCTGCCAGGTGCTCCTGAACGCTCAGATGGACAAAGCTGAATATCTTGTCCTCATCTTTCCTCCCTCGCTCTTCTTTAAAGATCTCTGTGAACACACCAGAGTACTTCGAGGCTCCACTGACGTCAATGCCACTCTCTTTCAGATCATCTTCATAGAAGATGATTTTGCCTTCTTCCAGCTGCTGAAAAGCCAGTTTTGCCAACGATTCAATGTACTTCATTTTCTTTCCATACTTCTTTGTTGTCTGATCAATATGAAACACCAGGAACAATGTGTACATCTCAGTCAGGGTCTTGGGCAGCTCTCCTCCCTCTCTGGTCTTCAACATGTCCTCCAGAACTGTAGCAGTGAACCAGCAGAAGACTGGGATGTGGCACATGATGTGGAGGCTATGTGATGTCTTGATGTGGGAGATGATGCTTCTGGCCTGCTCCTCATCTCTGAACCTCTTCCTGAAGTACTCCTCCTTCTGTGGGTCAGTGAACCCTCTGACCTCTGTCACTACGTCAACAAAATCAGAATGTATCTGATTGGCTGCTGCAGGTCGTGTGGTTATCCAGAGGCGAGCAGAGGGAAGCAGATTTCCCTTGATTAGGTTCGTCATCAGAACGTCCAAAGACATCGACTGCGTCACATCAAAGTCTCCAACTTGCTTCTCATTGGTCGAGCAGTCCAGCTGAAGGCGGCTCTCGTCCAGTCCGTCCAAAATAAACAGAAGCTTGAATTCACTCTTGTCATAGTTGGTGTTTCCTGACGCCTCCATGTTTGTAAAGATGTAGGTAAGAGCGTCGTCACTGATGTGTTTGGTTGCTGGGATACATTTATGAATGAGCTCTGCTAAACTGCACACTTTCCCCTTCAGTGAGTTCAGGTGACGGAAGGTGAATGGAAAAATCAGATGCACATCTTCATTGGGTCTTTTTTCAGCCCAATCCAACAAAAACTTTTGCACAAAGAATGTTTTTCCAATTCCTGCGATCCCGTTGGTCAGCACAGTTCGTATGGGTCTGTATTTTCCAGAGGGGTGTTTGAACATGTCAATCGGTTTAATCGGTTTCTCTGTCTCCGTTTGTTTTCCAGCTTTCTCGATCAGTCTGACCTCGTGCTGAGTGTTGATGTGTACGTCGCCACCGGGCGTCACCCACAGCTCCGTGTAGATATCGATCAGACGCTGCTCATCCTTCTTCTGAGCCCAGCCCTCTCTCGCACACATGAAGCTGTCATGGAGATTTGACTGGAGCTTGGCTTGGTAATACGTGATGATCCGAGGCTCTGGAACTGGAACCATCAACAACAGAGTCAAACACTGAGAGAGACAGGAAGTATTAGTCTGCATTTTCTCAACTGTAAACATGGAATTTTGTCCCTAAAGGTTCAAAACGCCTTAAGTTTAAGTCTGACACTTAAGGTTGAATTTCTCATTAGCTGAGGGAGGTATTTAAGGGTGTTGCACAGCGTCTCTTAAAAGGTTTCCTAGTTAAGGAAAAACCTTAAGGTATTTAAAGCAGTGAAAGAGTTTTTACAGCGGTAAAATTCTACAGTTTCCATGGAGACTGTTTGTTTGCTGCCATTAGTGCTTGTGATACCTGTGAACATCTCACCTGTATCGTCTCAGCAGACAAAAAACTCTTTAAAATTACATTAAAGAAGTGCAGCGCGCTTTCATCCTCCTGTTGTTGTCATGGAAACATCAGCACAGTGTTCAGCAGATAGTCAGAGCATCTGACACTCACACAGCTGATCAATCGACATGAAATACTTCACCAATAACTGACCAAGAATTAAAAAGAAAAACTCTTTCTCTTCTCTTAGCTCCATAACAATGTTAACAAACCACAGTTTGAGTCATGTTTTCCTGTTTCTTGTTGTTTGGTGCTGCTGATCAGCACAGGTGTCATTGATTGTTACCATGGTAACATTGGTCTTGGACCTGAGTTAGCCTGGGGGTAAGGTGTCTGATGTTTCTGTCTTAAAATGAGTCAGTCTTTATTTTTCTGATTAACATCAGATTGATCTGGACCAGCACTACAGACCAGTCTGACTAGTCTCTGTGGAACTGGTCCCAGGACTCTGTCTTATCAAACGAGACCTGCCCCTGTGGTTTAGTTTTTCCATGTGAATTTAAATTGAGAATAAAGATTCAAACGGCAGATCTACTGGATGAACTGACCTTCTGGTGCCGACCTGGCGTCAGACAAACGCAGCACCAGATCATTCCTGTTGATCTTCTTTAAAATCTTCCTGGTCACCTCCACAGCTTTAGGACCTGTGTAGGTCTGCTCCATCAGATCCACTGTCCTCCACATCTCCGCCTCCTCCAGCCTGCCCTCTGGGATGGAGCGGTATCCCTTGGAGCTGTCGCCCTGCTGCAGATGCCATTTGAATTTCTGGAATTCATCTTTTCTCAAATTTTCCAGGGTGTGTAACAGGACCTGTGATGTCATCACGCCCCCCCTGTTAAAATCAGGAAAAACAGTCAACCTGAAGAGAGTGATGCACCTGACATCAGCTGACACTGAGTCACAATAAAGCCCAACAGACATCAGCTATGTTCATTCATAAAGACCTGTTTAACTTCAGGAGAGTCTTCATACAGAACCAGGGCTGAAACATGAAGCATCAACATGAAGAACCAGAAGATGCAGTTCCTCTAATGACCACTAGAGTCTGGCTCCAACAGTGAGTCAGTCCCCATAGACTCTCATGTTAAAATGTTTACAACATGGTACAAAAACTGTTTTGGTCTCTGTAGCTTCTCAGACACTGCCAAGATGACGACAGTAGAGCAGCTCACTCTGAGCTTCAGAAACCTGTGGGTGATGTCACAGAGGTGACGTCCATCTTTATTTACAGTCTACAGAACACATGACTGTGTGAACAAACAGGATGTGTTCCTGGCTGCAGTAGATCCAGCCTCAGTGCTTCTTCTGCTCAGGTCTGAAGACTAGAGTGTCATATGACTCCTGGTCTACTGACAGAGCATGTCTCTGCTAACTAGCACTAGCATAACACCATCAGTGGATGGTGTTATCATTAAATTTTTGGACCTTAACTGTGTTTCTCACCACGGACTACAGCGTCCTCTCTGGGTCAGCTCCTCCCACTTCTGTTATTGGGCTGTTTCAGTTGCCACTGGTTGCCATTGGTAACCATGTCTCCTCATCTGCACCTCAGCTGTGTGGTGTACCACAGGGTTCTGCTCTGGGTCCTGTCTTGTTTCCATGGTACATGATTTTACATGTTTATCTCATTACTGCTGTGCAGATGATGTTCATTAACAAAGTGGTCCCAACCAACAGGCCAGATCCGGGCCAGTGCTACAGATTCTTCTCTAGACCAGGATCTGGAGCTCCTGTCTCTAATGGTGAAGTGTCACTAATGAGCTGCTTTTTGTTTGTATGTTCACACATTCCAGTTTTATGTTTCATCAGTTTGTGGTGTGTGTGAGTGTGTGTGTGTGTGTGTGTGTGTGCTGGTGTGCTGTGTGTTGTGTGTGTGTGTGTGTGTGTGTGTGTGTGTGTGTGTTTTAGTGGGCCGTCCTCTTGTGGTTGTGTATTAACTGATGATCAGTTGTTGGTTTGACATCAGACTGAACATTAAAGTCTAATATTTACCCAGAATACATTTTATAGCCTTCTTTTATGGTGGTGGTGGTGGGTGGGGTACAGGTGTGTGCTGGTTGTCTGGTCTTGTCTCTGGTGATGAGCACCAAGTATCACTCAACACTTAATCTGGTAAAAGCGATTATTAAAATATTAAATCCAAATATTATTTAGGTTTTACTTTAGAGTGTGGACTTTGTTGTTCAATTAGTTTAAATTATTATCATTATTATTATTATTATTATTATTATCACAAAAATCATTTGTGAATCGATTCAAAATCTGAGAAGATGATTTAAAATGATGTGAATTAATACAAACATTCATGTTCCCAGACGATGAATCAAACTGACCTTTCCTGCAGCGCCACCATCAGGTCAACATTAGAACTGGTTCATGACAAAACACCTGCAGAACCAATCAGCCTCAGTGGGACACTGTGTTTACTGCTAGTTAGCTAATGTTAGCATGCTAACACACTGAACTAAGACAGATAGTTCAGAAGTGGAGTGTGAGCTCCCACTAACGTATTTTCAAACTTGTGAAAATGGCGGCAGAGGAAGGTGGAGACATCTGTGCAGAGTGTAGTGCCCAATGTCTCCATGTTGGATGTAACAGACACATGGGACAGTAAAACACTCATTTTTAACTTGTGCACAAAGAAGAAGTTCGGTGAGAGATGATTGTGGTCACATGTTGTGATCATCATTTCTGATAAGTGCACAACAGCTGTGTTTGATTTGAGACAACACACACTATGCCAGTTAGTACACAGTGTACACGGCATGCTAACATTTTAGCATTTAGCTCAAGTACAGCCTCTCAGAGCTGCTAGCTGTAGACTGATGTTTTCTAATGAAGTGTGACATTATATTAGTGATTTACATGAAGTCAAGACAGATTCTCTCACAGTGTGACCTGATCTCATCAGACTGAAGGTTAACAAGGTTGAGGTCGACCCCTCCCTGACACAGTCAGCTGTGGAGCAGAGGTAGAAAAGTGTTGAACACTCACAAAAACAGGAGCTGACCTCTTAGTGATGGTTGAACCTGTGGAGTCTTAATGATCCGACAAGCAGGACGAGGAGCTGAAGAGTGATGCTGATGATGAACACATCTACACTTTAAGAGACAGGACCCACAATGTCACATTTCCTCATACAGAAGGAGAAGATGGCTGGTTGAAAGTAAACCAGTGTGTGGTCATGACCACTGCTGCTATGGAGACCAGTCAAGTTCCCACATCCTGTTACTTTAACTTTACCAACTCTAATTAAACTCCACTCGGCTTCATGTGTCAGGGTGGAGGTATGTGTGGACTGATTACACATGTTGTGTCGCTGCTGGTGACTGATGCGTTATCATGGTCAAAGCAAGTGACATGAACATTTATGAAACTAGAATCACCTCCTCATGGTCGTATCCCTCCTCCACTCAGACGAGTTTCAGGTCAATCCTGTTTATCCACAATCATATAAAATATTAACCATTGGTGTTAAAGTTTGTCATAAATGTTGTTTGAAGTCTTGAGTAATGGCTAAAAAGTGTTTTGTGAGGTCACACTGACCTTGACCTTTGACCTTTGTCCTTTAGCCACTAAAATCTAATCAGTTTATCCTTGAGTTCAAATGAACATTTGTGGCAAATTTGAAGAAGTTGCTTCAAGGCCTTACAGAGATATCGTGTCCATGAGAATGAGACAGATGGACAACATGAAAACAAAGAAAAAGCGACATAAAAAAATAGGTATAAAAGTATTCGAGAAAAACAACTGGCCACATGGTGGCGCTAGCACACTGATTGTTGACCCTGTGAAGAATTTCATCATTTCTGTAGCCTTTACAGTTTTGCAGATATAAGTGATTTTAAGCTCCTCACATTTAAAATTATAACTTGTTTAAATCAACAAGCTGTTTACAGCTGGATGTTATAAAAGCGGTGCCATGTTTCCTGCAGGATCAGAGTAGAAGCTGTTTGTATTGAGCAATACTTGTTTTATTACCATAGCGCCCCCCAGTGGTGCAGTCTCTTGTCAGCCAATCACAGAGAGATGACACGGGACATCAGTGTTGTGTGTCGTCTAAATGTGACACGGACTGTTCGTTGAAGTTTGTATAAAATATATCAGAGCGGGAGTCAAAAAAATAATAATCACGTGGCCCTAATGTGGAAAAATAGGTTGTTTTTTTGTTTTTTTTAGAAAAGTCAGAACTGTAACAAAACATTCACATGTGGCCCTAACCCGCTTCCGTAGAAAACAAGTCTGTCAACTGTGTCTGGGTCGTTCACATGACAGCAGCATGAATTCACAAACACTGAGCAGCCGAAGTTTCCCGACAGAAGCCGAGGTGCTCCGATGAGTCGACGGGGGGAGAGTGAGCCTGGCTCCCTCCTCTGTCTCTCTCTCCGCATCCATTCCCGGTCAGAGGGTCGGAGGATGAGTCCGCTGCCCGCCGCTCTGTGACGGAGGAGCCTCAGCAGAACGAACCGTTCACCGGACCGGAATCTCCTCAGCCCGCGGTGAGTCTCGTCGATCGGTTATTGGCTCTTATTGATTTCTGGCTGGCGTGTTACTGACAAATTAGCGCTGTGATCGATCGGTGGGCCGTGACGGTCTCTCTCCCGCTTCACTCAAACAGAAACTGATCAGCGACCTGTCAGTCATCCGGTCCCGGTGATGTCATCATCAGCGGTCAGAACCTGATGGAGACAGATCGACTGATCAGCTGATCGAAAGATCGATCGAGTTACAGGTGTGCAGGCCTGCCCCCCCCCCCCCCCCCCCCATATGAAGCAGTCTGGCCGCATTATGTCATGTAGTCATTTCTGCAGAGTACGATGGAGCAGCATGTGTAAGTGAATGTGTGTGTGTGTGTGTGGGGGGCATATCATCGGATTACCTGTGTGAGGGCGGAGTTTACACCAGTGACCTCATGTCACCTGTGAAATATGACGTCATGTGTCTGAAAAGCATCTGGTGACCGTGGTCAGACCCTGATCCAGACTGATCCAGTTCTCAGTCATGGACTCGGTCCACTCTGTGTATCTGATGTCTGGACACAGAAATGGATTTCACCCCTGCTTGATTTAGGGCCTGTGGTTCCCATGGTAACAGCAGTGGTTTGATAGAGAACACAGCTGAGTAGCTACAGCCGGTGTATCAGGAGCTCCAGTCCTGTTGGTGTCTGGACTACAGTCCTCACGAGGGCCCCGGAGCCCAAGGTTGAGAAAGTGTCGAGTCCCCACAAGGACAGCAGGATCAGTGTGTTTCTGTGCGAGTGTCTCAACATGCACACAGCATGTAGGAGGACTGGTTTCCATGGTTACCATTCGTTAGGCAGCTTATAAACTGAGGTGAAGGAGGAAGATCAGAGGAGTGTGAATGTTTCACTGTGAACAGTCAGCTGATCAAGGAATAACATGGACAATGAACATGTGAAGGTTCATCCTCTAGAGAGCAGCAGCTGTCACCTCCACCAGCCAATAATCAATAATCAATTATAGCCGCAAGCGGCAATTTGTGGATTCTAACCGTTTTGTGCTCCACTAAGAGAAGCAGCTGAATTTTAGCTAATTAATGCTTGGTAGGCCTACTCCCCACGACAACCTGAAGATATCTACCAAGCTTTATGATGATGGAACAAATGGTTAATGAGTTATGGCCAATATTAGTTAAGCCCCGCCTTTTGTGAAGATATTTCTGTTGATGTTTTTTTCATCTCCCAAGGCTGGTGTTTCTAATCTCAAAATTCATAAAGTTCTACTCATTTTACTGTTTTTCAAATTATGCAAATTAGCAAAACAATTATCCAGAAAGGCTTTCATAGTTTAATTGTAATTCTTTTTTTTTTTAGAGCACGTCGCGCGACATGTGTCACTCATTCCAGCTCACGGCAGAAGACAAGTAATTAGGGTTCTAACCCCGAAGGTTTATTATTAACCTTCGGGGTTAGAACCCTAATAATCAATGTCTGTGATTTCATTAACATGCTCATCAACAATCCAACAAAACAGCTGAAACAACCACACACACACACACACACACACACACACACACACACGTATGTTTCTAACACTAACAACAACAGCACCAGTGTGATGTCACCAGTCTGGATCCAGGTGAGGACCTACAGGACAGTTGAACTGACACTGGTCTGTGATCGTCTGATCTGAATCAGTAAATACCACCTGCTGGTCAGGTGAGGAAGTTTCCCTCCATCTCTCAGAAGGAAAGAGAGAGTTTGATGTTGTTGCTCATTGGATCAGTGTTCCACAATGTTTTCATATCATTTATAATCTCATTAATCTTCATAATACAGTTAATTTACCACATATCACCAGTCTGACCAGTGACCAGTGACCAGTCTGACCAGTGACTGAATTGGTAATCTGATTACACTGTCACTCACTTCCTGTCTGTAGTAACATTACATAATGTGATGTAGGCCCTCCCACTCCGCCTCCTAGCAACAGTAACCGTGGTCTGTTCTGTGGGCAGCAGGGCGTGATGTAAAAGGCTGACTGTGTTGCCATGGCAATTCCCTCTGAGACTCCAGTGCGCGCGCACACACACACGCACACACAGATGTGTACTTACACATGATTCTATACTTCAGTGGACAATCAAGGCAAAGAAATCCTCCAATCACATCATCTGTAACAATCACATGACCTCTGATGAACAGTCTCGAGTCCAGCAGCAGCAGCAGCAGCAGCAGCAGCAGAAGAAGAATCTCAGTGAATGTGTTGAGAGCTGAACTTGCAGAGATTTTTTCCTCATTAGTGTGATTGCTCCAAGTCTTTATTCTTATTATTGTTTTTCTTCTGCACGTTTTTCGGTGCTACTCTGCTGTTTTAGTGTGATTGAAACAGTGAAACTAGCAAATTGTGCAGCTTCTTCAGGACTGTATTCTGCTGCTTGTATTTTTCTTATGGCAACTATGTACAGTTCATTTTATATGAATTTTATATGCAGTTCTTTCCCATAGGAATGAATGAAGCGCTTGTTCAAATCCTGTTCAGATTCCTCTTTAAGGAGTACATAAAATCCTTAATATCTCAAAAACTGTTCAGGCTATAGACATGAAATTTAACAGATGGGTGGCCCATGATGCAATGCTTCACATAGTCACAATTTGGTGTGATGGCGCCACCATGTGGTGAGAAATCAGTGTTTACTGTGACTAATACTAATACTTTTATACCTGTTATTTTCTCTTACATGTTCAAGTCCCTTGTTTTAATGGAGATAACATCCCTTATTCAGCATCACTCAAAAGCAGCAGATTGAACCAATCACACACAATCAGAAAATGCAGAAGTTTCTAGTTGTCGTTGTGATCTTAGCAGCACCTGGTGGATGTGAGAGGAACTGCAGCATTACAGGACTGACATGTACAATATTTACCCTTTTCATAATTTCTAGTTACAGAGTTCATTCAGATGATCTGAACAACACGCTCCAGAAAGAATACCAACATGGAGGATGCTGAGAAAATGCAAGATAAACGCAGAAATATAGTCATTCCATACGTGTCTGGGGTCTCAGAGAAACTCCGGAGGATTTTTAACAAACATCAAATCCCTGTATGTTTCAAACCCAGTAACACACTCAGGCAGAAACTGGTACACCCCAAAGACAAAACACCACACAATCAGAAAAGCAACCTGATATATGCGGTCAAATGCAGTGAGGATTGCAATGACCTATATATTGGGGAAACTAAACAACCTTTAAACAAACGTATGGCCCAACACAGGAGGGCAAACTCTTCAGGCCCTGTCTCAGCTGTCTACTCCCACCTAAAGGAAAAGGCACACTCCTTTGAAGACAGCAATGTCAAAATCTTGGACAGGGAGGACAGATGGTTTGAAAGGGGAGTCAAGGAAGCCATCTATGTAAAAGTGGAGAGGCCATCGCTAAACAGGGGAGGGGGTCTGCGACACCATCTATCCCCCATCTACAATGTCGCCCTTTCATCGGTACCCAGGAGGGTCAACAACATAACCTCAGACGACTCTCAACGATCGTCATCCACCAGGGGCTCACCTGACCCTAACGACTGTCGTTCACAGGGGACAACAACAGGGTCACCTGACCCCTAACGACGGTCGTCCACATGAGACCACAACAATGGTCAGGTGAAACCAGTACTTTCACAGGTACTTTGGTGGACCCACCCACAAGAGGTTAAATACCTGGGTCCTTCTCCATTTTCTTGGTCAGACTAGTGCGGACTAGAGAGACCAATACATGATGAACTGATGAAGCCGCTTGGATAAGAGGCGAAACGTCTTCCACAGACAAATACAAGTCCAGTTGCCTTCGATTTAATCTGAGAGAGAGATCTGAACTAATTCACGCGGAGGTCAAACTTAAGTGAGCACACCTGAGATGTTACACAGACAAAGTGTGTCTCTGTCTCCAGGTGTCCCCAGGTGAGCCATGCCGTTGGTGAAGCGGATCATTGAACCTAGGTATCTGTGTCGTGGCACTCTGCCTGATGGGGTCGCCAGTGAGCTGGAGTGTGTCACCAACAGCACCCTGGCTGCTGTCATCAAACAGCTGGGAGGACTCAGTGAGTACTGGTGGTTATCAGTGTGACCCTGGTTCTATGACCTCACCAATCCGCTGTGTCACTGTTGCTAAGACAACGCTGTTGTTGTTGTTGGCGGTCTGCAGGTCGTCACGCGGAGGACATCTTTGGCGAGCTGTTCACGGAGGCAAACAGTTTCTACCTGAGGATGAACAGCCTGCAGGAGAGAGTCGACCTGCTGGCAGTGAAGGTCACACAGCTGGACTCCACCGTGGAGGAGGGTGGGTCCAGGGACCAGACCGGACCAGACCGGACCGGACCGGACCAGACCAGACCAAACCAAACCAGACCAGACCAGCCCAGACCAAACCAAACCAGACCAGACCAGCCCAGACCAAACCAAACCAGACCAGACCAGCCCAGACCAAACCAAACCAGACCAGACCAGCCCAGACCAAACCAAACCAGACCAGACCAGCCCAGACCAAACCAAACCAGACCAGACCAGCCCAGACCAAACCAAACCAGACCAGACCAGCCCAGACCAAACCAAACCAGACCAGACCAGCCCAGACCAAACCAAACCAGACCAGACCAGCCCAGACCAAACCAAACCAGACCAGACCAGCCCAGACCAAACCAAACCAGACCAGACCAGCCCAGACCAAACCAAACCAGACCAGACCAGCCCAGACCAAACCAAACCAGACCAGACCAGCCCAGACCAAACCAAACCAGACCAGACCAGCCCAGACCAAACCAAACCAGACCAGACCAGCCCAGACCAAACCAAACCAGACCAGACCAGCCCAGACCAAACCAAACCAGACCAGACCAGCCCAGACCAAACCAAACCAGACCAGACCAGCCCAGACCAGACCAGACCAGACCACACCAGACCAAACCAGACCAGACCGGACCAAACCAGACCAAACCACACCGGACCGGACCAGACCAGACCAAACCAGACCACACCACACCACACCACACCACACCACACCAGACCACACCACACCAGACCAGACCAGACCAGACCAGACCAAACCAAACCAGACCAAACCAGACCAGACCACACCAGACCAAACCAGACCAGACCACACCAGACCAAACCAGACCAGACCACACCAGACCAAACCAGACCAGACCACACCAGACCAAACCAGACCAGACCACACCAGACCAAACCAGACCAGACCACACCAGACCAAACCAGACCAGACCACACCAGACCAAACCAGACCAGACCACACCAGACCAAACCAGACCAGACCGGACCAAACCAGACCAAACCAAACCAGACCAAACCAGACCAAACCCGACCAAACCAAACCAGACCAAACCAGACCAGACCAGACCAGACCAAACCAAACCAAACCAAACCAAACCAAACCAAACCAGACCAGACCAGACCAAACCACACCACACCAGACCAAACCAGACCACACCACACCACACCAGAACAGACCACACCACACCACACCACACCACACCAGACCAGACCAGACCAGACCACACCAGAACTGGTCAGACCAGACCAGAACAGAACAGGTCAGAGCAGATCAGATCAGACCAGACCAGACCAGACCAGACCAGAACTGGTCAGACCAGACCAGAACAGAACAGGTCAGATCAGATCAGATCAGACCAGACCAGACCAGACCAGACCAGAACTGGTCAGACCAGACCAGAACAGAACAGGTCAGAGCAGATCAGATCAGGCCAGACCAGACCAGACCAGAACTGGTCAGACCAGACCAGAACAGAACAGGTCAGAGCAGATCAGATCAGACCAGACCAGACCAGACCAGACCAGACCAGAACTGGTCAGACCAGACCAGAACAGAACAGGTCAGAGCAGATCAGATCAGACCAGACCAGACCAGACCAGACCAGAACTGGTCAGACCAGACCAGAACAGAACAGGTCAGAGCAGATCAGATCAGATCAGACCAGACCAGACCAGACCAGACCAGACCAGATCAGAATAGGTCAGACCAGACCAGAACAGGTCAGACCAAACCAGACCAGAACAGAACAGTCCAGACCAGATCCCTAACACTCTGTATATAATCAATAATCGTCTGTCCAAGATTTATCTGATCACACCAGAGATCTCCTCTCTGACCTGAGGTCATCACTGCTGTGACTCTCTGTAGTCATGTGCCCTGCAGGACCCTGCAGTGGTCGGCCATCACGGCACTGGTATCAAGTTCTTGTCTGGGAGCACCAGACCGGGTCCTGCAGGTTTTCTGGGGGTCAGAAGTCTGGACCATTCGTCCATTACAGATTGTGAACATCCAAACAGAACCTGAGTTGTTTGTGTTCATGAAGCATTAGTGATTGGATGTGACCTGTCGTCATGAAGCAGTGACAGTGTGTCTGTGCTGCAGTGTCTCTGCAGGACATCAACATGAGGAAGGCTTTCAGGAGCAGCACCATCCAGGACCAGCAGGTGGTGTCCCGGAGCTCCATCCTCAACCCGGTGCTGGAGATGTACCAACGCTGCGACAAACCCCCACCCCTCAACATCCTGACCCCCTACAGGTCAGACTGGACTCCCCCACCCAGAGTCTGTAGACTGAACTACACTGCTACATCTCACCTAGTGGTCTACTGAACCACTGTTAGCACTGTTAGCTTAGCTCATTCAAAAACAACAGGGACTGGTATCTTCAGGTTTAACCAGGCTTTGTGTGTGTGTGTGTGTGTGTGTGTGTGTGTGTGTGTGTGTGTGTGTGTGTGTGTGTGTGTGTGTGTGTAGGGATGATAAGAAGGACGGTCTGAAGTTCTACACCGACCCATCGTATTTCTTCAACCTGTGGAAGGAGAAGATGCTGCAGGCGACAGAGAACAAACGCAAAGAGAAGAGACGACACAAGGTTAATTTCCCTTTCTGTCTGTCTGTCTCTCTGTCTTTCTGTCTCTCTGTCTGTCTGTCTCTGTGTCTGTCTGTCTCTCTGTCTGTCTCTCTTTCTGTCTCTCTCTCTGTCTGTCTCTCTCTTTGTCTCTCTCTCTAACTGAATCCCTCATTCATGTGCAGGAGCAGAAACATGTGGAGGAATCTTCAGGAAGGGAGGTGAAGAAGGTCAGAGTCTTTTATTTTGTTAGAAATCTTCACTGTGTTCAATGTTCTGCAGTTTTATTTTGACAAGTTGTTCTTCTTCCTGTGAAGGTTCGGAAAGCTCGTAACAGGCGGCAGGAGTGGAACCTGATGGCATACGACAAGGAGCTCCGCCCAGACGCTCGAGTGACACCATCACCTTACCACACGTCTGACGGCTCCATGTCACCTGACAGGTAAATACACACCTCTATTTCCTGTTCCACCCCGTCAGTGTAAAAGAAAACAGTCTCCTCTCAGGGTCCATCCAAATGTGAGTCAAATCTAGTTTCCCTCCACTTGTGATGGAGGTGGAACTCCGTCACCTGTAGAAGTAATGTGGCCTGTAGTCTAATTAGCTCCACCCACCTCCGTCCAGGTCAGGGATGTCAGACGACCCCTCCTTCCCTGCCAGCCCCCACCTACATGATGCCCAGGGGCATGATGGGAAGGATCATGTCACCGCAGCGACCACAGGGACCGGTCAGACTCAGTCGTTGGACCGCGCTCTCCGACCTGCCCCTGGGTCCTCTGCAGTTTCCGCAACGACCACCCGTCAGCACTCCCTGGGCCGTAACCAACCACACCATCACCACCACCCGCCGCCACACACCGGCTCGGCCAATCAGAACACAGCACGCACCAACGCCACCAAGGAGGCCAAGTACACACGCACACATGTTGGCAGGTTTTCCACCATGTCAGTGTGACGCATGTTTGACCTCTGACCTCTTTCTCTCCTCAGTGACCACCAGATCCCCCCAGCCCCTCCCCCGCCCCCCCCTGTCATGCCATCAGCGGGACAGATGGGATTCAGCTCCACCCACACTGCTGCCATGGCAACACCGCTGCACCCTGCACCCACCCCTGGTAACCAAGGTAACAGTAGTTGTTGTTGTTTTTTTGGATCCAGATGAAAAAACTAATTAAACTTCCTTTGTGTCTCCAGGTGGCTCCGCCCTCTCTCGCCCCTACAGCCCCTCCCCTCCCCCACCTCCCCCAGCTAACTATGTGCCCTCCCCCTCCCGGGCTGGAGGCCAGGCCCCACCGTCGGCTGCTGCCGCTCCCCCGTTGCCCCCGACAATGGATGGCAGGAAGCCACCCGGCGGACCAAACGTGCCGATGAACGACGCCCGCAGCGACCTGCTGGCTGCCATACGCAGAGGTCAGCTGTTAGCAACGTGCTGTGTTAGCTTTGTCTGTGTGAGGTCATCAGGTCTCTGTGATGTCATCAGGGCTCACAGAACCAGTGTCACATAGTGTCCTGTGGTCTGATGTGTGGTTGAGGTTCTGGTCTTTGGTCCTGGTCCTGGTCTACAGGAATCCAGCTGAGGAAGGTCCAGGAGCAGCGTGAGCAGGAGGAGGCCAAGAAACGGGAGCCCACAGGAAATGATGTCGCCACCATCCTGTCGCGGCGCATCGCCGTGGAGTACAGCGAATCGGAGGAGGAGTCTGAACCCGAGGACCAGGAGTGGTCTGACTGAGGAGGAGGTCTGATCTGGATCAGTCCCAAAGCCAGACCGGAAACCAACGGAGGAGACAACCAGTTTTTAAAGTCTGAAAAACAAACAAACACACACTTCAAAACATTATTATCATCATTAATAAATATGATCAGTTGTCACTTACCTCATTATGTTCAACCTGCTGGAGGTGGAGCCTGAGTGCCAACATGTCTGTCCTCTGGACTAGAGTAAGATCCTGATCCAGGATTCAGAGTGTGTGTGTGTGTGTGTGTGTGTGTGTGTGTGTGTGTGTGTGTGTGTGTGTGTGTGTGTTCACAGCGGCACATAAAGGACGAGGTCTATACAACCTTTATATGAGTTTCCTGTGGCGCCCCCCCAGGACTAACTGAGCATGCTAAGACTGAAGGATCAGGATGTGATGGTCTCTGTGGCCTGTAGGGGGCAGTGACAGGAAGCTGATTCAAATGAAGAATCAGACTCAGGTCCAACTAACGAAGAGACGTTAACGGGGTCATTATGGTCCTGGTTCTCCTGGTTCTCCTGGTTCTCCTGAAGGACGGACTCCAGACACGGCTGTTATTTTTATTTTCTCTGAATTTTTAATATTTTTAAACATGTTGAGATGAAAACTGTTGATTTTATTTATTTATTTATTTATTTAAACAGGAAAAAGTCACATGATCTTAAAAAGTCTAAAAATATCTGATTGAAATATTTCATCAGTTTTATATTATTGTTTTATATTCTTGTTTCCATAAGTTTGTCTTTAGTATTTTTGATATTTGTGTTGAATTATTGAAATATTTGATTGATTTGACTCTGTTGTAAATATTTTCCTTCAACTCAACGTGTTTGACCGACAGTGTTTCGTAGCTGTGAACATCCACGTGTTTCCTCTTTTTAACGGCTGCTTTCAGCAACTGATTCGTTAGTTGCTACGGTAACCAGAGAAGATATTCAGACTGACAACGTCTCATGCTGCTTTTTTATTCTTTTTGATTTTTGATTTTTTTCATTTACGTCACTAACAGACCTGCTGGCGTCCCATGATGCATTTTGTTCTTCTTACATGTTATTGTGCAGCATGAGACTCGTATGATGTAATGATGACATCATGCAGTGGACGGCGCCCTCTGTCATCAGAAAAAACATAAAATGAGGGGGCGTGTACTTCCTGTCCTGTACCATCTGTGATTGGTTGTAGAGATTTATTGATCTGTGCTGTGTTCTCTGCTGTGATTTGCATGTTGATGGAAAAAATAACAAACTGTGAAAGTGTCTTCAAAAGAGAAAACTTTATTGACAAAATCAGCTGTGCACTATGTTTCTTTATGATCTGATTTTATTCATCAGTTTGATTTTTTTTTTTGATCATGATTTAACTGCATTATTTAAAAAAAAGACAAAAAGCTTTTAATTTGTAGAGAAACAGTTTAGAGCTTCACTGACATCATGTCCTTTATTTTATCAGGTATGTTTACATGTGATTATTTATCATTATATTATTATACATTATTTCTAACATCTTAGTTGGAAGAATCATTTATTATTAATAATTATTTGTTGTTAGTGTTTCATTGTGAAACTTGACCTCAAGGTTTAAGATACCTGGGTAATCACCATAGTAACTAGGCTAGATCACCATGGTAACTTAGTTTCTGACCTCAGAGTTGAGGTATTCAGAGCCTTTATTGCAGTAAAAGTACCAGTACAACAAAATAAAAATACTTTTATTATAGTAAAAGTCCAGGAGTATCATCAGCAACGTGTTAAAGTATTAAAGGTAAAGTCCAGGTCTCTGACTGATATATGATGATATATGGTGACATCATTATGATGATATGATGATAGGGTTAGTTCTGAAGAACAAACCTGTTGTCTCTGATCTTTGATTATTGGTGAGATATTGGATCATTTATTTAAATAAAACCATGACAGAAGTTTAGAGGGAAAATCACTGTAACTAGTAACTGAAGCTGTTAAAATAACGTGGAGCAGAAAATTCAATATTTCCCTCTGAACTGAGTGAAGTTTAAAGTAAAGTACACGTACCTCAAAGTTGCTCTGAAGTACTTACTGTAGTTACTTCCACAGCCAAGTGGAGGGCAGTATAACCCCTGGGCTGTTGACTGGCTGCACGTTATTCCACACAGAAGAAGAAACGCTGCTCAGACAGGAGGCGGTTACAGGAGCAGAGCAGCAGGGATCTGGAGCTGGCTGTGAGTCGTTCAGACTGTTGGTTTAAATAAAGTTAGATTTACTGCCGATTAAAGACGTTGAACTTTGATCAACCTGTAAATATTAAGCGACTTTCATCAAAGAGTTTTCACCTCTCCAGATCTCCCGCCGTGCAACGTCACGCGCTGTACGGAAAACGGTCCGCGCCAAACTCCATTAAAAAATGTACCAAATTAATGTTTCTTTCCTGATCTGTCGATAGATTCAGTTCGATAGAAGATGAAATAACTGAACCAAACGAGCAGTTTCCTGGTTAATTCAGCATGAACACATCAGTGTATTGGCGCCTCAGCTGCGGACGACTGGGGAAAATAATCACAGGTTGATTCTACAAACGGAGCATTTTGTTTAGATAAGACTTCCGGTCTGCACAACTTGTCCTGCATCTGCGTGCACGAGCACAGATTGTATATAAAAAGTAAACGAGCTAAAAAGATCCAGATGCAAGGAGATAAAATCTGTATCCAGTTCAAGGGCTCTTAGTTATAGACTTCCGGGTAGTGTCTCGCGAACTCCATTCAAAACTCTTGCTAATTAATGTTTCCTTGTTTATATACGAATACACGTTAGATGATGAAACAACTTTCATCAACAGTTTAAGTTTCCTGGATAAATCGGCGGGAAGATAAAAAGCTGTGGATTACACAGGAAATCAATGAGTCTGTGTATGGTATCATCTCTGACTAACACTCAGTGAGTTTCACACTGAACTCCACTAATCAGTTTGATGCAGTTTCACACAAATTAGATTTTAGAAGGAAAAACAGATGTCTGTTTGCACATGAAATATACTCCCCTCCTCCCGGGGTGCGTTTGTTTCGCAGACATGTCGGTGCAGGTGCAGTGCCTGTCGTTTCGACAGCCGTACGCCGGTCTGGTTCTGGACGGGGTGAAGACGGTGGAGAGCCGCTGGAGGCCCCTGCTGGCTCCGCTGGAGAACCTGACCCTGGCGGTCCACATCGCCTGGCGGGACTGGGAGGGGGACGAGTGGCGGGCGGTGCTGAGCGACCCGCTGGGGATGAACCCGGCTAAAATCCAAGAGCTACTGGAGTCTGGGGAGAGGTTCGGCCGTGGTGTGGTAGCAGGTGGGAGATGATATCTGTTTTCTCTGATTTTCCTGTTCACGAGGCGTCCCTGAACACATCACCTGTGGAAGTAAATCTCTTTCAGGACTGGTGGATGTGGGCAGGACCTGGCTCTGCCCCGCCTCCACGCAGGGGGAGGAACTACAGCAGCTGGAGCGTTCAGCCATTCTGATTGGTCTGCAGGAGAAACACCTGACTCACCTGTCCAATCCTCGCTGGCTGAAGGAGCCGCTGAGCGCCCGAGGAAGTCGTGACCTCTGGACTGTAGAGATCCCTGCTGAGCTGTTACCATGACGACACATGATGCACACAGACAACAACGTCTTGGGTGGGGGGGGGGACTGATGGATTGTCATGAATTCCTGACCAGCGGGTCACAGTTCACACCTGTCCAAAGCCTCACTTCCTCATTAGAGATGAATGCTGATGTAGCATGCTAACATGCTAACACTTTATATGGTAAATTCTTATAACATAGTAAAGTCACCCTTGCCAGATGTTTGTTTATTCTTCATAAAACCAGATGTTTATATTCACTCACCCTCATCATCCTCACCATGAACCTCAGGGTGGTTTCACCTCACCTCCACCTGACGTCAGAGCTCCACATCTGATTCTACACAGGAGAGGATTTATGAGGAGCTGCTGCAGAACAGTCCTGAGCCAGGTGAGTCAGGTGGCACCTGTGAACATGTGATTGTTCTCACTAATGAAAAAACCCGATCGACACTCGTCTGCTGGTGAAAAACAAACTTTATTCTCCCAGGAACAAAACAATCACCATCACCAGTTTGAATATCAACATAAATACATCCCCCTCTTCAATAAACAGGGGCTGACCATGCCCAGCCTGCAGCCCCGCCCCTCTCTGTGATTGGCTGGCTGACACTCCAAACAAACTCCAAACTCAAGACTGACAAACTTTAAACAAAAAATCTGGTTTTCTCAGGCAGCTGTGTCGACTCCACCCTCCACACCTGTCACTATGACAACCTGTGATGCTACCACCTGTGTTGCCATGGAAACCGCAAGGAGGCCTCTGTCTCACTTTAACGAGCTGCTCATTAACGAGTTTAACATTTGGAACAGGATGTGACTGAGGCAGATGAGTTGTGTCGGAGGTATTTAGTTCTGTAAATAAAACAACTGAAAAAGGCAATTTAGCCACAAGCTAACAGCTAATGTGTTGTTGTGATGTGAAGCTAACATGCTAACATGCTACAACAGGAAAACCTCAATACCAAAAAACTTTTAATCATCAGTTCACTTTGAAAAGAAAATTTACCACATTATTTATTTACGTATTTATTTGAACTTTAACTATGTTGCTTGAACTTTTTTCAATTATAATTTTTTTTATTTTGAAATTTTCTCAATCGTTTTCTCTGGTCCGTCCCCTGGAAACCTCCCATGTCTGAAATTATGAGGTTCTCCTGTCATTAGCTGCGTGCTAACAAGTGAGGTTGATGTGTGTGTTAGATGGTGGGGGGGATGTAGTGTGTGGCTGTGTGGTGGGGGGGCGGGGCTGTAATGTAACCAACGACATGGGTGGGGTTAGGGGCGGAGCAGTAAACTCGCGGGGCGTGGCTTCCGGTCTGGAGCGTCCCCCAGTGGGCAGTCGGGGGGAGGCAGTGGAAGGAGGAGTGATGGGGGAGGTGAGCAGGGTGAGGATGAGCAGGGTGAGGAGCGGAGGGTAGGTAGGTGGCCGGGGGCGGAGCTTCATATGGCAAGTGAAGCATCGGGGGAGGGGGGAGAGGCGTCTGATCCGGGTACAGGAGAGCAGGGCAGGGGGTGGAACCTAGAGGGGCGGAGCTAATGGAGGAGGGGGAGGATCCTTCCATAGATGGGGTGGGGCCTGTGCAGGGGGAGGGGACAAAATCAATAAAAAACTTGACTGAATGTTTAGATCGTGTGTCAGGGGTGTCCACAAGTAAAGGTGTGTCATCAGCACTGACCACTGCTGTGTCCGTCTGTCTGTCCATCTCCTGCCCTGGTGGATTCTGGGTAGTTTGAAGGGGGCTGATGGGGGCCACGACCTGCCTCAGGGTAGGACTGAGGGGCAGCTGGGGGCAGAAGACCAGGATTGGGTCAGTTACAGGAAGGAGATCTACTTCCTGTGAACCACTAAACTCCCTCACCAACTAGCCAACTCAGCAACTAACTAAGTCACCAACTAAGTCAGCAACCACCTCACTAACCCCTGTAAGGCCTAACCAACCAACCAACCAACCGACAACCCAACCAACTAACTAAACAACCACTGTAAGAACTGACCTCTGTAAGGACCGACCGACCAACCAACCAACCAACCAACTAACTAACTAACTAACTAACTAACTAACTAACTAACCAACCACACCCTCCAACATCTCCTTAATAAAACTCTTATTGTGAAAGCTCTGTGATCATAATGGTACTCTTATTGTGAAGGCCTTTCCTCAGTGACCAGACTGCTGGGTGGTGGTTGACACCTACAGGAGCCAATCAGAGGCAGCGTGGGTCTTACCGTGCAGGGGCTCCTGGCTCAGGTAGGGGGGGTAGTGCTGGTAGGTGTAGGAGGCCTCTGGTGAGGTGGGGGCGTACGTCTGCTGCTGCTGCTGCCAACAGCTCTGATGGTACCACTGTGTGTGTGTGGGGGGGGTTAACAGTGAGTTAACCTGCATCTCATGTACACCTGATATTTAAAGAAACATGCAGCAGTTTGACTTCCTGTTTACTACAGAGAGTAACTGGTGTTACTGGCCTCTGCAGCTCTGTGTGTCTCTTACCTGGACTCCTAAGTTGAAGTAATACTGGAGGACTCTGCAGTCTACACACACACACACACACACACACACACACACACACGAGTGAGGAAGCAGACCAGTGTGGGAGGTCTAACATTAGATAGAGTTTGACCTCTGACCTCGGGGAAAGTCGCTGCCGTTAGGGTCGTAGGAGTAAGGGGGAGGAGCCACCATGGTGCAGAGAGGCTCACCCAGCTCGTTAACCAACCAGGGAGAAGAAGCTGAAACCGTCATGGCCGCTAGAGACAGAAGAGGAGGCTGTCACTGTGTGTGTGTGTGTGTGTGTGTGTGTGTGTGTGTGTGTGTGTGTGTGTGTGTGTGTACCTGAGCGTGGCTGTGTGTGTGCAGTTGGCGGCAGGTGAGCAGCTGCAGGTACATGTGATGATGGAGAGGAGGGTGAGGAGGAGGAAGAGGACGGTGAAGAGCAGATGACAGCTAATGGCTTCACTACCTGAAACACACACACACACACAGTAAAACACCAGCAGCCAATCAGTGACTGACTCAGGCTGAAGCCTAATGAATGAAGTTCGTACTGATGATTGATGATTGATGTTGAGCTGCTTGATAATCAATCATTTGATCACCTGTTCCTCTGATCTGAAGATTTGCAGCAGTGTGTGTGTGTGTGTGTGTGTGTGTGTGTGTGTGTGTGAGAGAGAGAGTTTGTGTACCTGCTGTGTGTAGTTGTAGTTCAGGTCTGTTCTTGGTGGAGAGTCAGCAGGTCCTCCTTCCTGCTCATCCTTTCATAATAAGAGAAAACATAAAAGAAACCCTCCCTCACTGCAGCTCTGTGACATCACTGATCACGTGATCCGATCACATTAAAAGATGCGGGGGGCGGCATAGGAGCAGAATGACTTGTTGACAGGTGGAGAGAACTGTGCTTCAGGTTAGACTCTGCAGGTCAGAGGTCAGGTGTGTTACCTGGTTGGGGGGGGGCTCAGTGGCAGTGTAAACACCGGAGGTCTGGTAGCTCTGATCTGAAACAGTTTAAACTAAAGTCAGCAGCTGCTGTGAACCGAGGACAGACTTCCTGTCAGACAGCATCACTCACCCTGAGCGCTGTAGATGTATTCCTCTGTGTACTCACCTGAGACAGACAGGAAACATCACCTCAGGTGTGTTATACAAAATTAAAGCCTGGTACAGGATTCAGTGTAAATACATTTATTCTACTTTATGATTAACACTCAACACTTCCTGCAGAATCTTCCAGATTAAAAGTCTACAGGAGTGGGAGGGGTTACATCCTTTGAGTTACTGTTACGCTTTTAATGTGAAACATCTGCAGGAAGTGCAGAGTATCTCAAACAATGAATGAAAGAAAGAATGAAGGAGAGGCAGGCATACTCTGGTCCGGACTCATCTGAGAACTTCCTGTCTGTTTTATCTCTTATAAATATATATTGATTTATTGATTATTGATATCATTCCTCACCCTGGTCCTCCACAGTGCTTGTGTCCTCCTGGTCCTCCTCTGATGAGCAGACCGGGGTGTTTCCAGGTGGAGGTGCAGGGGGGAGGGGCCCCGACCCTCTCTGAACTCTGTAGGAGGTGCCAGGGGGAGGGGCACCCATGTTGGGGGGAGGAGCCACAGCTGGACCCTTTGGGAAATCAGATACCTTATTAAATACATGGGAACATTATTATGTTACCATGGAAACATGACCATTTACAGAATCTGTCACCATATTCACTGGACTGAAGCTACAGGCTGAGCCTCCAGGTGTCCAGTCAGAGTCTCTGTATGATGTCACAGGTGAACCAGCTGACTGACGTCACGTGTCCAGAGATCTGCTTCAGTAACACCTGGAGGACATCCTGTTTGTCCGCTCTAATATTTCTGTATCATCTGGTTTTTGGTTCTCACCGGCAGTGGCGGGAAGACTGTGTCACTGGCGTCGTCCAGCTGGTAGTATGCGATCGCTGCGTCCAGATCGGCCGGCTCCTCCACCGTCTCCGGCAGGAAACCAAACTGACATTCTTTGTTGAGAGCTGCGACCAGCTGACGGCGGCTCCGCCTGAACAGACACGAGTAAAAACCTTCTGATGATTTGAACTTTAATGTTTCTGAAACAACACATTAACTTCCCGTTTGGTAAAAGGTCGGAGGAGCTGCGAAATAATGAACTGCTGTCCCTAGAATAACAGTTTGACTCCGTTTGTATTTTAGAAATGAGTTGCTATGGTAACCACGTGTCAGGTATGTCACTATTGCATCTTATTGAATAGACAATATTAAATATTCACATTAACACATCAGCTGATGCTTGATGAATAATCCTGTTAAAAACGAGACAAACATTTTAATTTTTTCTCGTTGGTGTGTGAACTATTAACAATAAATAATTTATCTATATGATTACAGAATATAATGATGTTGCTGTTTACCGAGACCTGAAGGTGTAATTTTCGTAGTCGTGGTAATATCTTCTGCCAGGGTGATAATAGGTCAGCTGCGGACCAATCAGGTGACGGTTCAGGAAACGGGTTGAGCTTCTGACCACAATCCATTAGACACACACACACACACACACACACACACACACACACACACACACACACACAGGAGCTCCTCAGTATCAGGATGTGGTTTCTTTTATGGTACAACTGAGCAAGTGACACAAGTACCAGCTCCCACCTGGACGCTCCGTAGCGAGGAGGTCTAGCTGTATGGGGATGGTGGTGTGGGGGGGCATAGGGGTCATAGGTCATTGTTCCAGGTGATGGAGGAGGGGGTGGGCGGGGATGCCCTGCCGGCTGGAAGCGAGGGGGCAGAGTGGAGGGGGCGGGCCCTCCGTATGAAGAGGGCGGTGGCAACAGCAGCTCCGCCCCCTTCAACCCACTGCTACCCCGAGACTTCCTGAAGTAACGATGACGGTGATGGCGCTGACCACGAGAGTCTGAGTCTGAGGGAGATGGGAAGAGACGAGGACAGAGACAAAGACAGAGCACTACAGGACATCGTTATGGTAATCAGAGAGTCGTTACGGTAGGTCAGGAAAACGTTATGGTAGGTCAGGAGAACGTTACAGGAGGTCAGGAAAAAGTAACGGTAGGTCAGGAGAACGTTACAGTAGGTCAGGAGAACGTTACAGGAGGTCAGGAAAAAGTAACGGTAGGTCAGGAAAACGTTATGGTAGGTCAGGAGAACGTTACAGGAGGTCAGGAAAAAGTAACGGTAGGTCAGGAGAACGTTATGGTAGGTCAGGAGAACGTTACGGTAGGTCAGGAGAACGTTACAGGAGGTCAGGAGAACGTTACAGTAGGTCAGGAGAATGTTACAGGAGGTCAGGAGAACGTTACAGTAGGTCAGGAGAACGTTACAGTAGGTCAGGAGAATGTTACAGGAGGTCAGGAGAACGTTACAGTAGGTCAGGAGAATGTTACAGGAGGTCAGGAGAACGTTACAGGAGGTCAGGAGAACGTTACAGTAGGTCAGGAGAATGTTACAGGAGGTCAGGAGAACGTTACAGTAGGTCAGGAGAATGTTACAGGAGGTCAGGAGAACGTTACAGTAGGTCAGGAGAATGTTACAGGAGGTCAGGAGAACGTTACAGTAGGTCAGGAGAATGTTACAGGAGGTCAGGAGAACGTTACAGTAGGTCAGGAGAACGTTATGGTAGGTCAGGAGAATGTTACAGGAGGTCAGGAGAACGTTACAGTAGCAGGAGAACGTTATGGTAGGTCAGGAGAATGTTACAGGATGTCAGGAGAACGTTACAGTAGGTCAGGAGAACGTCACAGTAGGTCAGGAGAACGTTATGGTAATCACAGGGAGAACTGGATCTCAGAGAAACGTACCCAGATCTCCTTTTCTAATGGGAGCAGCAACGTTCCAGGCAGGAACTGGATTCACTGGTTTCAGATCCGTCAGAGGAACCAGGTGTCTGAGAGAGCAACATATTAAAGCATCTTCATGACCGTCAGTTTAACTTTAAGACCATCGGGTCTCACTAGTCCAGATGGCTGATTCAGACCTGGTCTTAGGGTTAATGTTAGAATCAGGTTTAGGTTGTGTGTGTTACTTCTCTCCCAGCTCCTCGATGAAGACAGTGACGGCTGATGAGTGTGTTCCTACTTCCTGGATGAAGGCATTGTAGTACTTCCCCTTTGGCTCCAGACGCACCTGAAAACACACCCCACACACACTGTGACGGGGTTCATATGTCACATGATCTGTTCAACATTAGCATTAAGCTCCTTGCCTAGTCAGCTGACTGACAGTCTGAGATGTCCTAGAAAGGCCACCGTACAGAGGATAAATCGCTTGGTTTTTCCTCAGGACAAACTTCATACTGTTTATTTACATCTCCGCCTCATGGGGGCGCTACTTAGTCTGGTTAAATTGCCTCAAACTAGTCTCAGGTTACATCCTGTTTATCCAGTCATAAAATATTAACCATTTGTGTGAAGTCTTGAGTAATGGCTAAAACGCGCTTTGTGAGGTCACACTGACTTTTGACCAATCAGTTCATCCTTGAGTCCAGGTGAATGTTTGTGCCAAATTTGAAGGAGTTACGTCAAGGTGTTGCTGAGATATCGTGTCCACGACAATGAGACTGACGGACGGACAACCTGAAAACAAAATGGCCACCAGCTCTGACTGTTGCCGGGGTGGAGGAATAATAGAAACTAGAGAAGCTCCAGTTGTTTTTAAACATCAGTTGTTTGAAGGTCAGCTGATGTTCTGGAGGTTGTGTATCAGCTGATAAATACAGGTGTGTTTTCTTACCTGACACTTGTCTCCCAGGAAGTACTGTCTCCCTGCGAACACCATGTAGTCCGTCTTCTGCATCTCTGTCACACACAGCACAGTCATGCGATTATTACAAGTACACACCTGTTAGTGAGCTCATCGTGATGTCATAACTGTGGCAGAGATAATCCATGACAAGGCAGGCAGACGACCAATCAGAGTGTTACACCTGGACCACCTGGCTGTTTTACATTCATCATCAGGGTATGAATCAGAACTCAGGACTGTGTGTTACCTGTGTGTCACCTGTGTGTTACCTTTGCAGGTGTCCTGCCACACGTCAAACTCCAGGTTTCTGTAAACCTCTCCATCCAGAGACTTCATCACTTTGTAGGTGAGACACAGTCTGGAGGGGGGCGGGGCTTCTGCAGGAGGCTGCACAACATGAAACCAGTTCAACTCTGAGCTCAGGTGGTTTGAGAATCTGAACCTGGTCCTGATGGCAATAGACGGTTCACTGCGGTCATAGATGTTTGTTCAGCTGACCCCCCCCTTCATTACCCCTCCCACCTTTGTGTCATCTGCCACAGCTCTGGGTTTCTCCTCAGCAGCTCCACCCGCCTCCACCTCCTCCCTGCAGGATGAAACAAACACCTGTCTGTGAATGCCACACACTGACAACAAACAGGAAGTGATGAGGGTCATTACACAGCATTTCCTCAGTGATCATGTGATCATCAGCATCATAGATAAGAGGTCATCATTTACATCACCTGTCAACAGATCTACAAACACAAAGGTGTGTGTGTGTGTACCTTTGTCCTCGGTCCTCAGGTGTGTCATAGCCGATGTCAGCATCACTACACACTGATGGACTGTTTCTATAGCGACGACCTCCGACCCTGAAGGTCTCCATGGCCTGACAGAGCTCCGCCTCCTCCACCCCAAACACCTGAGTGTAGAGCAGCTCGTACAGGAGAGCTGCGCACACACACACAGACACACACCTCTGAGTGTAGAGCATATACACACACCCTGATCGACCAATCACTGATGAGTACTCACACTGACAGAGGGCGGCAGAGGTGGGGTAACTCCTCAGGTAAACAATGTCATAATGACCGTTGATGGAGCAACACAGCATCACCTGGCAACACAGAAGACTGACAGTCAGCACTGACCAATCACATCACAGAGTTTATTATCATGTGACCTGCTGATCTGTGAGCCAATGAGAGGAGAGGCTCCAGAAAGAGGCGTGGTCTCTCCTTCACCTTGTCCACAAAGTCGTCCTCTGAGATCACTGTGGCTGGTTTCCCTGGGTAACGATAGATCAGGAAACAACGCCTACACACACAAACACAAACACACACACGTCTATCAGATGTTTCTTACTTCATAAAACCCTTAAAAAAAACAACTGTCGTAACCCTGGTAACCTGCCAACAAACACACTGACACCATGGAAACAGCTGACTAAATCTCAGCTGATTAGCAGTGTGTGTTCCTCACCTGTAGAGCTGAGACAGAGCCTTGATCTCCACCTGACCCACTGTCTCCTGCAAACAGATACTGTTACACACCAACACACCTGCTCACAGCTGTCAGTGAACTCAAAGGTCAAAGGTTACAGCAGCTCACCTTGGGGTCCTCCAGACGCTCCAGGTATTTCTCAAACGAGCCTTCAACAAACTGAAACAGGAAACAGACACAGATCTGGTCAATAGCTGGTCAACAGTTGGTCAGTTAGTTAGTTGGTTAGAGGGGGAGACATGATGTCACATGACCACAGGTGAACTTACTGGTTCAAAGTTGCTTCTATTGGTTCTCATGAAGTTGGCGCAGTCCTGACGGATTTTCTGATGGTAGTTCTGAGAGTAATACAACTACACACACACACACACACACACACACACACAGTGTAACAGCAGTTTATCCTCATAGTACTTCCTGCAGTCTAATCAGTTTCCATGGCAACAAAAAAGTGAGTGTGACCCTGTTTTAATCTGATTAACAGGCGTTAATCACGTGTTTTCTCTCTCTCTCTCTCTCTCTCTCTCTCTCTCTAGCTGTTAGCTTTAGCCCGGCTCACCTGCTCTGACACGGCTCGGAACAGACTGGACGCGTCCCGGGCCACCATCTTCCGGTAGAGTCCCAGACTGGACAGGTACTCGTCCATGTTGATGAAGTACTTCTTCAGGCCTTTCTGCATCCCGCCGCCGCTCAGAGAACCACAGCTCCACGGTAAACTCTGGCTCCTCCGTGCCGTTCCGTCGCGGTGACTCCGCTGCCGTCACCCCGACAGGTGAGTTTAATCAAATCTCATCAGTGCGAGGCCGCTCGCCGCTGCTGAGGCGTTCACGGACCAACTGAAACTCAGAAATCTAACGTTCAACTGTTAAATATGAAAAGAAGAAGAAGAAGATTGACACAGAAACTCTGACCAGTCTTCAAACATAGAATTCAGAATAAAGAGAGAAACCAACACTAAGACACATAATATAACACAGTATAACACGTAACAGTGATACCACAGTGTAAATATTTTATTATTATTCAACGGTTCACGTGTGTGAGAGAGAACCTGATGACGATGATTAGAATCAATACATCGGTGTTTATCGATATATGATCGGAGGACTGAGCAGTCTGAACAGCAGGTGGCGGTGAAGCTCTCCCTGTTTAATGTTCATTACAAGAAGAAGAGGCGGTCAGAGTGCGCATGCGCATCATAACCTCATAACCACCCGTAGTCTGACAGGGGTGACATGGTTCGGTTTCAGTCTGTCTCCGGGTCTATCTTAGTTTGATCCGGTCCAGATGTTCAGACTGCTGCTCCGGAGGCTTCGGCCGGTCGGCGGGCGGCCGGGCCTCCTCTCTGCCCGTTCAGCTCGCTCCTTCAGCGGCTGTCCTCCGGAGCTGTCCGCTGCCGGGATCCGGAGCACCTTCCTGGACTTCTTCCGGCAGAAACACGGACATCTGCTGGTCCCGTCGTCCCCGGTCCGGCCCCGAGGAGACCCCAGCCTGCTGTTCGTCAACGCCGGCATGAACCAGGTCAGTATAGACCCGGTCCGGTCCGGTCCGGTCCGGTCTGGTCTGTTCTGTTTCTGAGACCCGCTGCAATCTGGTGGCTGTTAGCTAACGATTTCAAAATAAGAGTCCTGTGAACGCAGCATTGACTGATGATAAACTGACTGTGTAATCAGTATTCAGGTTAATTAACAAACACGAACTGAGACTGATTACGACTGAGTGACGTTAGAGTGAAAGCTCAGGGTTTACAGCAGGTCAGGTCACTCAGGTCCATTAATACTAGCTCTGTAGTCAGTCTTGATGTGACCTTTGACCTGATTGTTTAGTCAATCACTGCAAACACACATGGCTGTCTTCTTCTTTGGCTGTTTCAGTTCAAGCCCATCTTCCTGGGGACGGTGGACCCCCGCAGTGACATGGCGTCATACCGCAGAGTGGTCAACAGTCAGAAATGTGTCCGAGCCGGAGGCAAACACAACGACCTGGAGGACGTGGGCCGGGACGTGTACCACCACACCTTCTTCGAGATGCTGGGAAACTGGTCATTTGGAGACTACTTCAAGGTTTGAGGGAGAGGGTCACTTCCTGTTTATGGGGGGGTGGGTCACTGCCTGTTTACACTGGGAGAGAAAACTGTCCAACATCACCACAACTGATTTTTTTTGTCTGTGTTCAGGAGGAGGCGTGCTTGATGGCATGGAGCCTCCTCACAGAGCATTATGGGATACCTGCCGACAGACTGTACGTGTCTTACTTTGCTGGCGATGCTGCATCAGGTCTAACAGCTGATGAGGACACTCGACAGATCTGGTTGGACATCGGGTACGAGTCTAAAGATGGTGTCTGAAAGTGAAGGGGGACAGGCTGGACCTGGTCCTGGTGTCAGAACACCCAGTCAGAGGGACCAGGACCATCATCAGTGATGATGTCAGAGATTATGTCAGTGTCAGTGATGATGTCAGTGATGATGTCAGTGTAAGTGATGATGTCAGTGATGATGTTAATGTCAGTGATGATGTCAGTGATGATGTCAGAGATTATGTCAGTGTAAGTGATGATGTCAGAGATTGTATCAGTGATGATATCAGAGATTATGTCAGTGATGATGTCAGAGATTATGTCAGTGTCAGTGATGATGTCAGTGATGATGTCAGTGATGATGTCAGTGTAAGTGATGATGTCAGAGATTGTGTCAGTGATGATGTCAGAGATTATGTCAGAGATTATGTCAGTGATGATGTCAGTGATGATGTCAGTGATGATGTCAGAGATTATGTCAGTGTCAGTGATGATGTCAGTGTCAGTGATGATGTCAGTGATGATGTCACTGATGTCTCCTCAGGGTCCCCCCCAGTCGCCTCCTGCCGTTTGGCCTGAAGGAGAACTTCTGGGAGATGGGGGACTCTGGTCCCTGTGGCCCCTGCACCGAGATCCACTACGACCATGTTGGGGGACGAGACGCTGCGTCGCTGGTCAACGCTGACAGTCCTGATGTGGTGGAGATCTGGAACCTGGTCTTCATGCAGTACAACAGGTCCACACACACACCTGGACCACATCAAACCAGTTCAGTCCATTAGGGGGTTTCTCTGATGGTGTGTGTGTGTGTGTGTGTGTGTGTGTGTGTGTGTGTGTGTGTGTGTGTGTGTGTGTGTGTGTGTGTGTGTGTGTGATCAGGGAGGTGGACAACAGTCTGCGGCTGCTGCCCCAGTTCAGTGTGGATACTGGGATGGGACTGGAGAGACTGGTGAGCGTTCTGCAGGGAAAGAGATCAAACTACGACACGGACCTGTTCACCCCCCTGATCCACGACATCCACCAGGTAGTCCGCCATGACACCAGCTAGTCCGCCATGACACCAGCTAGTCTGCCATGACACCAGCTAGTCCGCCATGACACCAGCTAGTCCGCCATGACACCAGCTAGTCCGCCATGACACCAGCTAGTCTGCCATGACACCAGCTAGTCCGCCATGACACCAGCTAGTCCACCAGCTAGTCCGTCATGACACCAGGTAGACCAGGTGTGGGGATGCCACCACATATCCATGAGGGAGCAGATGTAGCGAGGACTGACACGTGTTGTCATGGTGATGTGTTGGTTGTCAGGGTGATACATCTGTCACGGTGATGTGTGTGTCCTCAGAGGTCGAGGGTGGGGCCATACAGCGGCAGGATGGGTGCAGCGGACCATGGGAAGGTGGACATGGCATACAGGGTGGTGTCGGACCACATCCGCACTCTGTCCGTCTGTATCGCTGACGGAGTTCATCCAGGCATGTCAGGAGCTGAGTGAGTCCTCCACCAATCAGCTGTCAGAGCACTGGACAGCCAATCAGCTGGTTGTAAAAACAAACCACCAATGCTGTTTGTTTATGTGTGTGTGTGTGTGTGTGTGTGTGTGTGTGTCAGGTTGGTCCTGAGGAGGATTCTGCGGCGTGCGGTTCGGTTCTGTGTCGAGGTTCTTCAGGCTCCTCAGGGAGCGCTGGCTAGCCTGGTTCCTACCGTCGTCCACACCCTGGTAAAATACATCTCCCATAATGCCTCTGACCAGGTGACCACGACACACCTGTGTGGACGCTGTGATGTCATCACTTCACCTTTATGAACTGATGACATCACATCATGAATAATTAAATGATTAGTGAGGTTTTATTTATCTTCAGAGATCTGATCAAATCTAACAAAAACTGAGAGAAGAGACAGGAAATGATGTCACTTGTCACCTGTGCCCCTCCGTTTCAGGGTAACGTGTATCCGGAGCTCCACAGGGAGGCAGACCGGGTGAGTCCACGTGGTTTACTTATTGATGAGTTTGACAATGATCAGCTGGATAATGTAACAGGAAGTTGATCCTCCCTCAGATCATGGACGTCATCAATGAGAACGAGGATCACTTCCTGTCTTCTCTGCAGCAGGGCAGCAGGCTGATCCACCGCACGCTCAACAAGATGGACTACAAACATGGAGTCTTCCCCGGTCAGTTCACCTCTCACTTCCTACAACTCCCATCCACAGATATTAAAGAGCAGCAGCACTGGAGGTCCTGGCCCTGGTCAGGGTCCTGGCCCTGGTCAGGGTCCTGGTCCTGGTCCAGTCTGACTCTGGAGGAGGTCTGAGACAGGAGGACCCAGACTTTGGTCTCTGGTCCTGTCTGTAATAAACCTGTATTGTGTCCCAGCCTCGGTGGCCTGGTCTCTGCACAGGGACCTGGGTTTTCCTCTGGACCTGGTGGACCTTATTCTGGAGGAGAAAGGAGTTCAGGTGGACCCTCAGGAACTGGACCGACTGATCGCAGAGAACCACAAGGTGAGGCTTCACTCTGATGTGTGTTACCATGGAAACAGTCCACTGTCTGCTCCAGCAGGTTACAGACTTATGGGGACATTAGCTCCCATAATGCACCTGGTTTCCCTATCATGAAGGCGCTGCATGACTCACTGTGGAGGGCTCTTATTTTGAAGGGCTTTTACTGCGAAGGGCTCTTATTCTGAAGGGCTTTTACTGTGAAGGGCTGTTTGATCAAACTACTTGTTCATTGAGGATCAGAATCGGATCATTTGCTCTCAGATGATGATGATGTCATCAAACAGCTGTCTGTGTGTGTCAGGTGGCGTCAGGTGAGCAGTCAGGTGAGCGGTCTCAGGTGATGTTGGACATCCTCAGTCTGGCGGAGCTTCAGCGTCTCGCCGTCCCTCACACCGATGACGGCCTCAAATACCAGTACAGACTGGATCAGGACCGCTACAGTACGAGGACTGACTCCCAACTGCACAGGTAACACACCTGACCCTCTGTGCTCGGCCCAGACAGGTAACCTCGTCTGTCTCTCCTCAGTATTCCCAGCATGCCGTGCGACAGTCCTGGCTCTGTACGATGGTCAGGCTCTTGTGTCGGAGGTCACTGAGGGTCAGCGCTGTGGGGTCATCCTGGACCAGACCTGTTTCTACTCCGAGCAGGGGGGGCAGTCACATGACTGCGGCTACTTCACCCGTGACGGACAGCAGGTGAGCCACCCTCTCATATAAGAAATGCATCATGGGTAGCTGCGGTCTGACAGGTGTCTCCTGTCTCTCAGGACGTGCCATTCCCCGTAGAGGATGTGGTCCTGGCGGGGGGGTACGTGGTCCATCAGGTGACCACAGCTGACAGCCTGAAGACCGGGGACCAGGTCCAGCTACACCTGGACCAGGTAAACATGAACCCAGATCCTGAATGTAGTAAACCTGCTCTCTGTC